TTTAGTATGGTAAACAACCAAAAAACAGACAGTACCTGTGTTCCTGAAGGGGATCCTTTAAAACTAACATAGGAGACCAGGATTCTCTTATCCTATTTACCCATGTTTTATTGAGCTTGTGTAGGGGATAGTACACCCCTAGTCCCTAATCACAAAAGCAGCCAGGAAATAAACTTGAATGTCATTCTGTCTTTAGCTTACTCTGGAATTTGTACCTCCTTCCTACCTTTTTTGAACTTGGGGAAAGGACAGCTCCCTTTGGGTGGTGAAAGAGGATTGTGATGTTGAGCCATTGAAGGTATAATAACTGCAAACCAGTTCTAGGACAGAAATATTCAGGATTGTTGAGATGTTTACATTGTCATTATTCACTTAGTTCTTCATGTCTCATAAGCCTGAGCTGGAAATAGGGTAGAAACCTTTCTACTTATAGTTTTTATCTGATTTATCTTGCCCTTCTTTAAATGTTTTCATTAATTTAAATAACAAGAGATGTTACATTATGTACTGTTGTGCTGACATACTGGGGAATTTTTTTTTAACAAGATCATTTTTCATTATGAATTTGTGCTATGTGTCAGCACCTTTTTTTTTCTTGGTTTAAAAACAAAACATACAACCCATATTTCTGATCTTGACCTTCATTTTTAGATTTGGCTTAGAATAATTGTGCACTCTTTAATGAGGCTTTTCTTACTTCCTATTTCCAGAACTAAAACCAAATATAGACATCCTATTCAAAACTTCTAAAACCTTTTAAAAAAAAAAAAAAGACTTCTAAAACTTTAAACTGACAGGTTGTTCTTTTACGGGGATTTTCCCCATGTCCTCCTGAAATTATCTTCTATGAATACTTGACTACACAAAAATCAGTTTCGACACTTGTATTTTTGAAGCAGTAGCCTGTATTAGTTTCTGCCCTCAGCTGAGGTTGCTGGCCCTCACGAGGGGAGTCTGACCTTAAGTCACATGCTGATAAAGATTGGGTAGATAGACCATGTAAAAGTTATCTCACCATAACATGGAATTCCCTCTTCAAGCTCTTTTATTTGGGAGATGATGTTCTAAGATGTTACCGAGTTTCCTTCAAAAGAAATGTAATGAAGAAGTAAACTTTCCAAAAACATCTCTGTTCACTTCACTCCTTTTTAAAATAAGGTGTGTTACAGGGTGAAGGTCTTGGATCACTATAGAGTTCTAGTCCTCTCAATGAAGATATCCAGACAGTCAAAATAGAAGTTCTGTGGGGTAGGATCCAGAGAGGAGGTAGAGATAGCTAGTGATTAAAATGATCTTAATGGAATTTGAGGCAAGGATGCTCAGACCACATTTAGATCTGAAAAAATGTTTCTGCTTAAAGTTTATTGTTCTGTTTGTATACCCTCTGAAAGGAGCAATTCATCTTTAAAACAAACAAACCTATGTGTGTTCTTACTGTCATAGTTTCATTCAGTATTCCCATTCAGTCTCTCACAAGCTGTAAAATCACCTTCATTTTGTACAATCGAAAAGAAACCTTTTATTTATTTATTTATTTATTTAATTTTATTTTTCTGGAAGCTGAGGACAACCAGGTATATTCTGTAGCTGAGGCCACTGACAGAGACAGATGTATCCAAGTGGCAAAGGGGTCTGCCTAGCACAGAAAGCATGAGCAAAGGGCTTCTGTCGGGACAGATGAAGCATGGCTGTGTGGAAATGCAGCGTCCTCTCCCTGAAAGGTTCATGGAAGACTTACAGCAGCCTGTCCCCAGCAGTAACTCTTTAGGACCCTGGTCAGTTCCAGTGAACTTTCCTTCCTGAGTTAGGTGAACACATTCTTAATTTAGCACTGTGGCATTCAAAGCACATGCCAGGTTTCTCTGCTTGCTCCAAGGATAGAATGTTGCACATGAGGAGTCAGGAAGATGGGGCTGGATAAACCCCTGGATCATTTAGGACCAGAGTGACAACTCTTGTCTTGGTTTTCCACTTCCCATTAAACACAACCCTGGTGACTGCCCCCCCTCAAAGTTACCTGGAGAAGCACATAATCTTAAGGGTTGCGGCTTTTGTGTCCTTTTGGATAATAACTCCAATACGAATTCAAGAAGGTATTAATTGCATAGTATTAGAGCACAGAGCTTGGATTGGATGTAGGTGGTTCATCAGCTACAGGATTCCTTCCAACCTCAAAATTGTGCTATCTATAGAGGTTAGTCTGTGTACTCTACAGCTCTGTATATAATAGGAGTTTAAACAATTAAGGTTCTGGCTGATTTGTAAAGGTAATCAAATAACGAAGCTCTCAGTTTGTCTGGGGCTTGAGGATCTTCGTTCTCTCTTCCACCACCTGCTGTCCTCTTTTTGTTTGTGCCCCTGTCTTGCCTGTCAAGTTGTATTTGTGAGGTTAAAGATGGCAAGACTCCTTCCAAAACTGCTGTCCTCCTCCCCCAGTAACTACTCCATCATTGAGTTTAGTTGGTGTTAGGGGTCCATGCCTTCCTCAGATGCTTTGTAGGAACAAGATTCTGGTTGACTTCTTTCTGGCCACCAGACAATGTGTGTTTTCTTAGTGTGTCAGATTGATAGCTGAAAACCAAAAGGCTCATCCTGTGGAAGAACAGCAATTTGGAACAAAAACCGTGACCTCAATGTAATGCTCCTTGTTGGTAATCAAGTTCTGGCTCCCAGGACACTGTCTGCAAGAGACTATAATTTAAAACAAAGTTGATGAACCAGTTGAGTACCTTTCTTAAAATTACTGCTTTAAAGTGGATATGTTGAAAATATCAACTGCTAATTATTGGCTCACCAACAAATGGCACTATTTGTTTTTCCTGTTTGTCATTTTAATATTATGGAATAAGCACTCAAACGTGAATGTCTAATGATTTGTGAGTCATTTAAGTCAATTCCATGAATTTTTCAAATTAATTAGGTTTGATAATATGTCCTAAACAATGAGCCTCTACATAAGCCCTAGTCTACTTAAGCTTAAATATATATTTTTGTCTCAAGACTGCTCAAAGATGCTCCTGTCCCCAGTGGTGGTGCTGACATACCAAGGATGATGAACTATTCTTGAAAGGGCAGATAGATGTAAATGAAGGCAGAGGAGGAGAATGAAATGAACATCTGCTTTTTTCAGCTCTCTGCCAGAAATTCATAGAGGACCAAAAATAGCACTCTAGCTCGCCAACCTTGTTTCAGCTTGTGTTAGGTGTAGGAAATTTTCTTTTCTTTTTTTTTTTTTCTCTTTCCAATCTGAGTATGCTCCATTAACTTGTATATTGAATACTAAATTGTTTTAGAAAACAAATCATTTGCTGATGAGAAAACTTCCATGAGAAAGACTAGTCTGTCACACAATGTAGGTGTGCTTATTTCCTACTTATTTAAACAGTGATAAGATAAATGATATCCCAGTACATATCACAGCCAAAATCTTAGATTCCACTGTGTACTATTTGAATATCTATTGGCATCTGCCATTTTAGGTACACAGTTACACAGGAAGAATAATAAAAACTGGAAATAAATATTGTCTTCTACTCCAACTCCCATTCCTTGGTCCATTTCAGTTAAGATATTCAATAAGTAATTTGTAGTTTGTTTTGAACAAAAGAAAATAAAAATGGGAAAGTGAGAGAATAAAAACCAAAGCAAAACTGTAACTGCAGTCGTCATCAAGGACAGCTCACAGGGTTCTTTTGAATAGTGATGAATTGCTTCCTGATTCGTGGTTGGTGATTTTTTTTTTTTAATTCCCTCAAGAAATTTACGATCAAGGAGGAACTAGCATAGTTAACATGTTTCTTTAGCCAGGCCCTGCCAAGTGCAAATGCATGAAACATCCAATCTGAGAAGGTCATTTTCTCAGATCTAGAACCCACAGCTCTCTCAGTATAAATTACATTTCAAAGGAGGGCTTTTGACCACTGTCACGTAGAAGATGTTAGGGAAGTACAAAGTTACTTGAAAGATCTTTCTTTTGCTGCTAAAGAGAACTTACAAGCTATGGCAGGGGAGGAGGCTCATCTAGAATTAAAAAAACATAATGTGTTTGCTTTCTGGTTCCTTTGGCCTCTGCGGAACAACTAAAGAGCATTATTTTGGTTTCTGAGGTTTAAATTATTTTATTCCCCTCAAGCACACTGTGTTTATGGTTTGAGGGAGAATGAGAAATAGGAAACTAGGAGGGGGACCTGAAAAAGTTTCATCTTGACCATCTGATTTTGCAGTGTCTTGTTCTTAATCTAAAACAGAATGGTTATCCTCTCTGATCTTCTAGCAAGAAACATAAAAATAAAGAATCCCCAATCACTGGAGGATAATCCTTGAGACTATTTTAAAATGCTTGGTTGAGTATTTGCTTAGAACTTGAACTTTTTAAAAAATATTTTTTAGATGTTTATGAACCTTTATTTTATTCATTTATGTATATGTGATGCTGAGAATCGAACCCAGTGCCTCACACATGCTAGGCAAGTGCTCTACCACTGAGCCACAACTCCAGCCCTAGACCTTAAACTTTAAAAGATGATCTTCTTAAAAATTTTTAAAAAGATGGTCTTCTATATAAATCCCAAGTTTGAGGCCAGCCTCAGTAACTTAGTGAGACCCTGTCTCAAATAAACAGGGCTGGGGATGTAGTTCAACAGGAGCACTTGCCTAGCAGGCCCTAAGCTCTGGGTTCAATCCCCAGCACCCCACACACTGATGGTATCCCCTCAGGTGAAGCTTACTGTTTGTTACCTGCACCAGCACTCATGAATGTCTGCTCCCCATAGTTGATTGTGTTACCACTTGACTGTTCAATTTGTTAGAATAACAAGATTGGTTAACATTTTGCAGTTAAAATAACTGTTTCATGTATTTTATCCCTTTTAGGTTATTGGAGTGGTGAGTAAAGAATACATACCAAAGGGAACACGATTTGGACCCCTAATAGGTGAAATCTACACCAATGATACAGTTCCCAAGAATGCCAACAGGAAATACTTCTGGCGGGTAAGTAAGGAAAAATTTTCATGACTTTCAGTATTAGGAAAAACTGGAGCTAGAAGAGCAGGGTCACTTCCTTTTTCAGCCTGTGCTGAGAGATGCCGGGTCCCTGTGGGAACAGAGAACTCTGAGCAAGTGCAGAGAAACTGGTTAAATGTTTGACTCTGGAGTACTAGCCCATGGGTGTTTAGTGGGGGAGATATGCACTATATGTGAATCTTAATTTTTTGCAACTCATTAGACCTTGTGATGAAAGGAAACAGTTTGCTGCTTGCTTTAAGGGTAGGTTCATTTGCATTTCTCTGCAAGGAAGTAGTAATGAGTCACCAAGCCTTAGATTTCACCCCTTCTTGATTTCTTGCTGAGTTAACTTTAATTGAATGGAAGAGTTATCATAAATGAATTATGTTGAAGAGAAATGTCACTAAGGAAGGATGGGTAGAAGATGGGCCAGGAGAATGGAGAAGGACCATAGAACTTGTCCTATTTAAGTCCGTCTATACTATAAAAGTAATCAAATCTGACAGTATGTAAGTTACTTACTTCCATAGTTTAAGGAAAATGCTTATAATCCAGTTAAAAAAAAAAAAAAAAAAAGTCTGGTGTGTACAACCTCCTTTGAAATATCAGGGTTAGGAAGGACCACCATGGTGAACCAGTGAGATAGAATTCTTAAGTAAAAAACTGTATTAGAAGTGAACAGAGAGGGCTGGGGATGTAGCTCAGTGGTTGAGTGTCTGCCTGGCATGCATGAGGCCCTGGGTTTGATCCATAGCACCCCAAAAAAAGGAAAAAAAAAATGAACAGAGAAAAGTCAGAATCCCTTTTTCCATAGAAGTCTTTGGGATACTCACTTTGCTAAATTAAGAAATGTTTACTTAAATCTAGTAAGCAATTTTTATACATACTTATATAAAATGTACATATCAAAAATAAATGGCTGCGTGGTAAATTGGATTATGCTTCCTTTGGCTGGTAAATTGGCCTAAAAATCTTAGTGCTTTTTATACAAGTATCACAAAAGACTTGTTAGGGGATTACTCAGAAGTTATTCCTAAGATGTATTTTTTTAAATCCAGAAAGTCTTGTGTTTCTGGAAATTTATTTTACTATTTCCCAAGTGAAAGAGAACAGTTATATATATTCACCAAGAATCATGCACCCTTAATTTTTATTTAATGATTACACTTGTTTAAAATATGTTCACTGGCTGAGCACGGTGGCACATACTGTAATCCCAGCTACTTGGGAGGCTGAAACAGGAATATGGCCAGTTCAAGGCCAGCCTCAGCAACCCAGCGAGACCCTTTCTCAAGTAAGAAATTTTAAAAAGGGATGGGGATATGCTCAGTGGTAAAGGGCCCCTGGGGTTCAATCCCCAGGATCAAAATAAATTACAACATATTCACTGCATGATTTATAATAGAAAAATATGAGCACATGTTTTGCTTTTATTGCCAAGAAATTCTTCTCAGACGTGAGCCATTGAGGTATACTGATCTTAAAGTCAAAGGTCTGAATTAACACAGTCCAACGTAAGTCTCTTTACTACCTGGTTATTTTGAAAAAAAAAAGACAAGAAACACCTAAGAATCTCTCTGTCCCTTTTTTCATTTAAAGATTTCACGATAAGTAACTAAAAGTCTTTCCTCCGGAGGATTTATCTGAATCAGCCATTCACTTGCAAAGGATATTGTCAGCGATAACTTCTCACGTGTCATTAGAAGCATCCCGATTTTGCTGGCAGGAATGTGAACATCTGTTGTAAGGAAAGAAAAACTTTCATGCAAATTACACAGTCAAAGAGAAGGGGTGTTCAAGTTGAGAAACCAGTGACATTTCTTGTAACTGTACTATGAGTCAGCACGTTTTTAATCTTGTGATAATAGGTGGAAATGCAGCGAGGTGAGTGACAGGCAGCAGGGTTCATTTTACGTGTGCATTATTTTATTTTCTGGTGGGGGTGTGCAGGTGACTTCATGGCAGGGATGGTTCTGTTTTTGAATGAGGATACAGTAAATCGGAGTCCGTGGAAGGCTGACTGGAACCGCCAGACCCATAGCTTTAGAAAGCAGTTTCCGCCGGCGGAGAGCACTAGAGCGATGGAACCCCACGTTCCTGGAAGTTTGCACATCAGAGTAAACAAACTTGAAAACCCCTCTTGATAGCCGAATTCACCCAGCCTTGTTCCATTTTCTCTTAACAAAACACACCGCAAAAGCTCTCACAAGCTGCTTTGATGAAGCCACATGTATTTCCCCCTTCGCAATTTACAGGAAGTTACTCTTAAAAGAAAGTGATTCTGGTGTTTACTGCCTGTGTTAAAGGGACAGGGTTCCTTTTTTAACTTCTGATAACGTTGGAGGGAAATAAAGAAACGATTCACAGACTTAACGTAGCCAGCAAGTGACTCAGAAGAAAGCAATAGCCTGCTGTCCTGTTAGAGCAAAATCTCTGCTACCCTACCTACTACTCAGAGGCTTGGGTTGCAGATGACCAGGTATTGGTTGTGCGTGTTGAAGGAAAGCTCTTGGGTCTGAAGGAAAGGTGGCACCTCTTAAGAGGAAGGAGAGAGAGCAGCTTTCTGTGGAAGGATATGGAGCATGTAATTTCAGTAAGAGTCTATCTTGAATCTTTCCTATTCTTACCTCTGTCTTTTTACAAAGTGCCCTGAGTGCCTCTGTTCACCAAAAGAGGTGTTACTCCAGGACAAACTAGGAATCCTTTGTGAGCTGCCTTTAAAGAGCCACACTTTCTTTCTGTTCTTTTCCCACAATTGCAAGGCTGGGGCTCTTCGCTGGAGGTTTTGGCCAACCTGCCCACAGAGAAGGGGTTCTCTCTTCCCTTCTCTGGCTTGAAAGCAAGGTGCAAGGCTGAACGTGTTTATCAAGAGGAAAAGTGACTTCTCAGTAGACTGTCAAACTCTGGCCTCTGTCCCAGCGCTCCCTTTGTTATGGCAGGTGAAGTTCACCTTTGCCCCACCCAGCGCTTCCACAAAAAGGCACGGTTCCAAGTATTCATATGAACAAGTGTTACTTTAGGACTCTGGAGGGTTGGGGGTGGAGGATGTTTGCATAGTCTGAGCCTTGGGCGGAGGTGTAGGAAACAGCTAGTACAGAGGCCATAGAAAAAGCTGAGACTCAGTTTGACGCAGTCAGTCAGCTTGCTCTTCTACCCAATGACTCAAAGCACTAAAAGTCAGCAGAATCGGAACTAAAGTTAGTAGCATTGCCCATTTGCCATTGACCGTGCTGTAGCAAAAGTAGTACTCTGGTGGTTTAATCGGTTTGAGGCCGCTTCTTAGGTGAAATTTTGTGTTTCATTCTTCTGCTATTTTTCCCGACCATGAAAAGATGATAAAACTGAAATGGAAAAGGTAACTGACAAGAATGTGCCTTACCTGTTTCCACCTTCATTTCTGCTGATTCAAGACTACTCTGGCCAAACTGATTTGATTCTTTTTCTAACTGGGCACTGGGGTGGTGGGGGGGGGGGGCGTGGGTCAGCTATCACACACTGTGTGATCTGTGCTGAGAGGTCCTCTGTGGCTGACTTCCTCTTACATATGTCTGTCTTCTCTTTTGGACAGATCTATTCCAGAGGGGAGCTTCACCACTTCATTGATGGCTTTAATGAGGAGAAAAGCAACTGGATGCGCTATGTGAATCCGGCACACTCTGCCCGGGAGCAAAGCCTGGCTGCGTGTCAGAACGGGATGAACATCTACTTCTACACCATTAAGCCCATCCCTGCCAACCAGGAACTTCTTGTGTGGTATTGTCGAGACTTTGCAGAAAGGCTTAACTACCCTTATCCTGGAGAGCTCACAATGATGAATCTCAGTAAGTGGATTACAGAACAAAAAATAAATAAATAAAAATAAAAAATGCCAGTAATGTCAGTTCTGCCCCTGTGAGCTAATAACAGGTTGTTTAATTATATGGCTTCATCATCTGTTGGACTAAGTAGGTGGCTTAAACCAGAGATGAGGAAGAGGGAAGACATTTTTTAGTCCCTGTTCCCTGTCATGTAACCTGACCATTTAAAAAAATATTAAGAGTTTCTTTGAGTATTGAATTCAGAAACTTACAGGAAGAAATATGTGTCCAATTCTAATTTATCCAAAAGGGGGCAGTTGGGAGTTTAATAGAGATTGGTCCAGACATGCAGAACATGCAAGCTATCACCTCTTGTTGATGGCAATTTGTTGGTGTTTAAAATGTGCATTGAAATAATATAGAGGTGCACATTTGTATATAAAGTCAAGGTCTTATGTGGAACATAAGGTTGTTTCTAGAAAGGCTCTGTCATAGTTTTTCAAGTATATTCTAAGTGAATAACCCTAGAGATTTCATATCTTGGCTTCCTTTCTTATGGTAAAACTAATTAATCTGATCTCCTAATCAGTATTACAGTAACCACCTATCACTTTATCTTAACAAATTCTCAGTTCCTTAGGTTTATAAGCTTTTACTTTTTTTATTTGGTTAAAAATGCTGTCATGACCTTTCTCTGTAAAGGGCTCCTTCATTTTATCATTCTCAAGTGATCTCTATGAACAATTTAAGAATTAATGTAAAATTCTAACCTCTATTGTAATTATAATTGCATATTCTTGGTTAGACTTACTAAATTTTATAACAGCTTTTAAATTGAACTCTTTTGGGCTCAAAAGTTAAAACTGAATGCTGAAATTTTTGTAACGTTTTGTTTTGATAATATTTCAAACTTAAGGAAACAGTTTAAGAAAGGTATAAGGCATTCTCAGTTACCCTTTACCCAGACTTGACAATTTTTTATAGGCTCTCTTGCTTGCTTCATCTAAAGGCTGAATTGTTTTTACTTTACATTTTTACCTTTGGGATATTTGGAATAAATAATAATTTTAACATAAATCACATTTTGACTTCAACTTTAGGACCCGTTAGCAAACCAATTACTTACCCTAGTTATATGTAATCCATCTGTCCAGCTATTTGTATTTATTATGTGCTATTCAGCTTATCAATCTTCCTTAGGATCTTGAGTCTATATTTGTAATTTTTCTGAAAATCTGGGACTGTAAAAGCTTCATGACCACTCCTGTAATATCACATTCTAGAATTATGTCTATGGCCCTTAACACACTACGGTGCTGTTTTGAACTCCAGGGAAAGATCTTGGGCTGTTTGAGAGCAAACTGGCTTCCACCATGAACATCATGAGTGTCATCTGCCCTAACCAATGGCAACAGTTCTCTCTCAGTGCTACCTGAGACTGCCGGTCACATCTCTAGGGCTAAGTACCCAGCATCCCTTCTGCTGTGTGTGCCTAACCTAATATGAAGGTCCCGGTAGTAAAAGACACAAAGGCACTGTTGGAACATAGTTCTGTCAGAGCCGTGTCAGGGGAAGTTGTGCTGTTCCCCTCACTTTCTCAGCATAGCAAGCCACTTCCCCTTGAGAGTCTCCTTACATTTTTTAAAATTTATTTTATTTTATTTTTTATTTTTTGGCAGTACTGGGGATCTAACTTTGTCCTCACACGTGGTAGGCAAACCCTGTGCCACTGAGTAACATCCCTAACTCGTTTTCTTTTGAGATAGGATCTCTTACCCAGGCTGACCTTGAACTTGCTATCCTCCTGCTTCAGGTTCCCAAGACCTTACATTCCTTGAGTTTAGTCATTGATGGATTCAGACAAAGTTTTATTATTTTTTAAATCTTTAAACAGTAAGTCCACTGGGGTCATCCCAACCCCACTGACTTCCCAACAACCATGAAGAAACCTTTCTGCACACGACCCCCACTCTGTGCCCATCAAGGGAAGGTTTTAAAGGCCTGGCATTTTTGTTCCCCAAGGAAAGACTTTGCACTGTATTTTAAGTGTCAAGTGCTTATGTTCAGAAGCAACACTATGAAATGACACCTTTGTGCCTTCAAATATTTGCTTTTATTTAAGCAGAATTTTTCCAAAAGGCGGTGGTAGTTCGGCATTTTCAGGCACCCCTTCATTGTCGGATATTCATAGGAAAGAATGAGAGTTAACAACAGCCAGTCACACAGCAGTAAGACTCAGGCGCTGATTGTGAAACCAGTTGTCTTAGGTGTGGCAACTGATGAGTGAGACTCCGATCAGGAAAATTTCCACTATTTCATCAGGCCTAATAGGGAGATTGTGTCTCCAAATGAGTTATGTTGGATTTCCAGGCTTAAAGCACAATAGGGGCCTATGCCAGACCACAGAGGGCTGATTTGACCGTGAGGATTCAAGTGATAGACTTGAGGAGATGTGAAGCAATTTGAAGGAAGGAAAAGTAGCCAGAAATCACAAATTGGCATGAATGTTAAGTTAAAAAAAAAAAAAAAAGGTGAGACCCACTTAAGACCCTACCCCTCCTTTTTTTTTTTTTTTGCCATCTATCTAACTAACCCATCTAGAAAACAGTTGACCAAATTATAGACTTCTAAATGTTAATCTGCTTTCTCAGTTTCAGTTGAAAACAGACTTTGTTTTGCCTACTGCAGAACTTCTAGGTTCTTTCTTATAGTCTTGGGGGTTCTTATTATAGATCGAAAATGTGAGTCGGCATAATTAAGCCATTCAGAGCCTTCAGAAGCAGTTCACTCTTGAAATGACTCCCTCCGCCTACAGCCATTTAAGATTGAAGAACAAAAACAGATCTTGATTTTCTTTTTCATGTTAACTCAAGCTGCTGCTGAGTGGGAGAGTCAGAAATGACACCAGCTCCCCTGATTACTCAGCTGCTGAAGGACAATTGTGTAAAATGTACCTTCATATAAACTCCATAACTTCCACCTGTAGGACATTTTAGAGAGCCTAACATTTCACTCTGGGTATAGAAGAAGGTGTAGATCTGTTTCCCAAAGACATCAGAGATCGAAAACATTCAGAGTAGATATAATGTGCACCAGGCACTGTGCCAGATATTTTCCATAGAAAATTTGAAATTTTGACTCTGTGTGTGTGTGTGTGTGTGTGTGCGCGCGCACACGTGTTTTTTTTTTGTTGTCCAAGACATTAGCTTCATGTCAGTTTTTAAATTCAGGTGCTTAGGAAGAACACAGACTAAATCTAGGGGCAGTGCTGGGAGTTGACTTAAATGTACACACTCACTGGATTTTAGAACCCTGGGGATATTGGAGCTACTGAAAACATTGAGAACTAGGTGTACTTGGCCGCATAAAGATGACACAAAGTTATGAGGATGAATTTTCTGTATTTTTATTTTATTGGGGGCAGTTTTGTTTTGTTTTTGTTAACTTGAGCCTGAAGATGCATCCCAGTCATTCCTTTTTTTTTTTTCCTCCACTTCATAGAATTCCTTCCTGCCGCTGTGAGATGCCTCACCTATCAGCTTTCCAGCTTAGTTGTCTTTCTCTTCCTTTACCATTTCAGCTTTAAAAAACAAAAGTGACAATTTGAACTTCCTGCCTGCTGGGCCTCACTGAAAGGCTGATATTGGCCTGATAAGGGGATATTTATTTTGGTTTAGTGACTTCAGAAATCCTCTCCCTCAACAAGCTTTCCATCACTGCCCCCATCAGCATCTTCCCTGATAGTGTTGTCCGAGGTGTTTATTCTGGGGCTTCTGGCTGGCCCAGGAGTACTGATAACAGCTAGCAGGAGATAACACTCTCTGAGGGGCTCTCCAACTGGAAGGAATCCCTCCCTTCAGCCTGTCAGCCTGGAGAATGGATTTGAAGAGCTCCATTTTTAAGGTCCACAGAGTTCATTTCTAGACGCATCAGGTAGCAGGCCTGGAGAGCTTTCTCTGTGAGATCCAGCAGAACATTCTGTAGGACCAGGAGGGATCCTACTATGAAGGCCTCAGCCTGATGCCCAGGCCATGGGTCCTGCTACTTCTCAGGGCACCTTCAGCACTCCCCTAGGACAGGCGAGCCAGCTTCAGGGACGGCCCTTCTGGAACTGGGGCTCCAACCAAGCCTCTGCTGTTTTACTTTTGGTTGCAGGAAAGACTAAGCAGGCGTTTTACGTTTTCTCTGCTCTGACTGATGTTGACTGCAGACCTCACTTGTCCTGTGACAGGGCTGGCAGTGGCATGGATAGTCAGTCGAGAGCTGTCCTCATTGCTCCTGTTCCTAAATAGTCTGTTGACCGAGTAACATATGCCATCCTTGGGAATAAACGCTTCCCTTTCAGCCGCCTCTGTTTTCTTTGGTGGTGTAAGTAATTGAACTGGCTCGGGAAGTACCTGTTGTGGTTTGGCAGAAGTGACTGTCACACCTTGTGATTCCAGGGGACAGTACTGCTGGGAGCCTGGTTAGACCAGAACCTTGGTGAAATGCTTGTGCTGTCAGCCAATTGCACATAAGGGGTGGCATCCAGGTCCTTGATTTATTTGGCCTAGTCAGTTTGAATAGAGGGCTTTATCAAATTCATATATTAAACAAGAACTGAGTTGAAAATTGATGACTGTTTATTACTTGAAATGAGTCTTTATCTTTCACATCTCGCTGCAGGGCGTGCTGATTTCCTTTAGGTAAACTGTGAACATCAGAATGACTTTTATTAACCTGTGACAACCCCCACCCCAGTATTTTTCCACCCCATTTTGATGAACGCTATCTTGTTCCAGTTTGAACAGCACTTTTCTATCATAAAGTTTGTACTAATGGAAACAAGATCATCCAAATGGCCCTGTTTATTCTGTAGATGCTGCCATGGTCCCTATTTTGCTGAGAAGGAAAAACAGTAGCACTTCTGAGTGGGTGGCCCTCGAGCCCTCTTGAGTGAGAAGGCGTTGGGAGCCGGGTGCCTGTCATTCATGACACCAAGTGGTGCTCAGAGCAGCTCTGGTCATTTCACTTAAGTTCTCTGTAGGCCTCTGAGTAATCACCCTTTCTTCTTTATTTCAGCCCAAACACAGAGCAACCCAAAGCAACCTAGTACTGAGAAAAATGAACTTTGCCCAAAGAATGTCCCAAAGAGAGAGTACAGCGTAAAAGAAATCCTAAAATTGGACTCTAACCCCTCCAAAGGGAAGGACTTCTACCGTTCTAACATTTCAGACAAGGACATCGATGGCTTTAGAAAGAATGGCAGCCCAGATATGCCCTTCTACCCCCGGGTTGTTTACCCCATCCGGGCTCCTCTCCCGGAAGACTTATGGAAAGCTTCCCTGGCCTATGGGATGGAGAGACCAACTTACATTACTCACTCCCCCATCCCCTCTTCCACAACTCCAAGTCCCTCAGCAAGAAGCAGCCCTGACCAAAGCCTAAAAAGCTCCAGCCCACACAGTAGCCCGGGGAACACAGTGTCGCCCCTGGCCCCTGGCTCTCATGAACACCGAGACTCCTATACTTACTTGAACACACCCTATGGCACCGAAGGTCTGGGCTCTTACCCAGGATACGCACCTGCCCCCCACCTTCCTCCAGCCTTCATCCCCTCTTACAATGCCCACTACCCCAAGTTCCTGTTGCCTCCCTACGGCATGAATTGCAACGGCTTGAGCACCATGAGCAACATCAATAGCATCAACAACTTTGGCCTCTTCCCGAGGTTGTATCCCGTCTATGGTAACCTCCTTGGTGGGGGCAGCCTGCCTCACTCCATGGTCAACCCAGCTTCTCTCCCAAGTTCGCTGCCCTCAGATGGAGCCCGGAGGTTGCTTCCGCCTGAGCATCCCAGAGAGGTGCTTGTCCCAGCACCCCACAGTGCCTTTTCCCTTACCGGGGCTGCTGCCAGCATGAAGGACAAGACATGCAGCCCCACCAGCGGGTCTCCCACGGCGGGAACAGCTGCCACGTCAGAACACGTGGTACAACCCAAAGCTACCTCAGCGGTGATGGCATCCCCCAGCAGTGAAGAGGCCATGAATCTCATTAAAAACAAAAGAAACATGACCGGCTACAAGACCCTTCCCTACCCACTTAAGAAGCAGAATGGCAAGATTAAGTATGAGTGCAACGTTTGCGCCAAGACTTTCGGCCAGCTCTCCAACCTGAAGGTAAGCCTCGTGGCGCTGCAGCGTGCTCACATCCACACAATGGGAACTGCCTTCGGGCAGGGGAAGACCTGGGCTGGGCCGAATGGGCATGGATTCTCCTTTGCTTTCACCACTTCTAGCTCTGTGGCTTGGGACAAGTTACTTTGCCTGAGTTTCTTCTGAATAATAAAAATGTGGGGTTTGGGCTAGAAGATCAGTGTCGAGTCCCTGCCAAGCTGAGACTTCTGTTCTTTCAGCTCAGGCACATGAGAGTATTCTGAAAACCCAAGGCTTTGTTCTCTTTAAGACTTTGTCTTGATGCTTTTCTTAAGACATTTCCACCACAAACACCAGAGTCTTTGAGCAGAAACCTTAGGTGACAGAGCAGAGCTAACACCTGTGGCTTCTTCCAGGTCCACCTGAGAGTGCACAGTGGAGAACGGCCTTTCAAATGCCAGACCTGCAACAAGGGCTTTACTCAGCTCGCCCACCTGCAGAAACACTACCTGGTCCACACGGGAGAAAAGCCACATGAATGCCAGGTGGGCGGTGTATTCCGGGTAGAGCTTTTGACCTTTGTAGAAAATATGTGGAGCTGCCTTCTCGTGTCATATAGCCCTTTGTTTAAACCAGAGTCCTACCTTGGGCTGAGACTGTGGAGCTCCCTGGTGCTCTGTACCTGCTGACTGGCAGCAAGGGTGACAAAGCCAGTGGGTGGGAAGATGGGAGGGAAGTAAATAGCACACCATGTGCAGTGTGCCCATGTCCCCAGTGTGCTTAGTACCACACCACTGTATTGAGCACACTCGGGGAGGCTCCTAATTCCAGGTTACTGGGCATTGGCCTGTCAGTTTGTCCCTCCCACTGGCAACTCCTAATCTTCTGTTCTTCCCTCTCTCCCTTCTTGGCCCTCTCTTGTCCCCACACTGTAGGTCTGCCACAAGCGATTTAGCAGCACCAGCAATCTCAAGACCCACCTGCGACTCCACTCCGGAGAGAAGCCTTACCAGTGCAAGGTGTGCCCTGCCAAGTTCACCCAGTTTGTGCACCTGAAGCTGCACAAGCGACTGCACACCCGGGAGCGGCCCCACAAGTGTGCCCAGTGCCACAAGAGCTACATCCATCTCTGCAGCCTCAAGGTCCACCTGAAAGGGAACTGCCCGGTAGCCCCAGCCACTGGACTGGCCCTGGAGGACCTAACCCGGATCAACGAAGAAATCGAGAAGTTTGACATTAGTGACAATGCCGACCGGCTAGAGGACATGGAGGACAACATCGATGTGACCTCTGTGGTGGAGAAGGAAATTCTGGCCGTGGTCAGAAAAGAAAAAGAAGAAACTGGCCTGAAAGTGTCTTTGCAAAGAAACATGGGGAATGGACTCCTCTCCTCAGGGTGCAGCCTTTACGAGTCATCAGACCTGTCCCTCATGAAGTTGCCCCACAGCAACCCACTACCTCTGGTACCTGTAAAGGTGAAGCAAGAAACAGTGGAACCAATGGATCCTTAGGATTTTCAGAAAGCAAGCATTTGTTTTGTTTCTTAAGTTCTGACTCTGCGAGTCGGGGTGCCTGCAGCAGATGGCGCATGTGTATCTCCAGATCCGCAAAGCTCTCCTGCGGCAGGGGGTTCCCCTCACCTCTGGAATTAAAGAAGGACTCCAAAGTTACCGAAATCTCAGGGCATAAATGACGCAAAGACTCTCTCTATCTATATATATGTATACATATTATATATACTTATTTACATCCACGTCTATATATTTGAACCTGTGTATTTTGAATATTTGTGTGGATATGTTTGCATAGCCTTCCCATTACTAAGACTATTGCCTAGCCATAATTATTTTTTCAGTGATAATCCTTCATAATTTATTATACAATTTATCATTCAAAAAGCAATAATTAAAAAAGTTTACAATGACTGGAAATATTCCTTGTAATTTGAGTATAAATGTTGTAATTTTGTCTTGTGGCCATCTTTGTAGATAATTTCTGCACAGCTGTTTAAGTACCTAAGATTTAGTAGACAAATACATGACTTCAGTCATCCTCTCTCTGTAATAATGATCTGAAAATGAGGTTTCAGTATTGCCAAAGTTCAACAGTTGATGTGTTAATTCATAGGATCATGTCATTTGAACAGCACTGTGTAACATGGAGTGTGTGTGCAGAACTACCCAATGATAACTCGAGTAGAAGGAACAAGAAAAGGAATCTTGTCATGTTTTGTTCCTAGTTCGTCATGTTTTTTTTCTAGCCATTATTTTACCAAAAAGGTGACAGGAAGTCTTTTTCAACCTGTCTATCCACAAAAGTAGGGTCCTTGCACCCCACCCCAAAAGTCATTTGGCCTTCAGAGTGGCCACCTGACTTTTGCATCCCAGTGTATTATCTGAAAATGTGAAAGATAAAATTCCATGTTTAAAACCACTGAGAAACTTTCCCGAAGCACAGGTGGTTTTGTACATGTGAGGTTTGGGAGCTTGAGTCTAGATGTTGTTTTGTTGTTGGTTTTTGTTTTTTATGTCAAAATTGCACAAATGTGGTGCTCTACCAGGAAGGATTTGAAGTAGATAGGCTCGGGCCACACTTAAAAAATACAAACAGAAAAACGGGTATTCTGGTCATCTTAGGGTAAAAGCGGGTAATGGACATTCCTATCCCCAACACATCAATTGTAATTTTTTTCTGTACAACTCAGATTTTCCTCAGTATTTGTGTTTTTGCATTTTATGGTTAATTTAATTGAAGATGAAAGGGCATTGCAAAATTGTTCAACAACAATTACCTCATTGAGTGTGTTCAGTAGTGCAGGAAGTGATGTCTTATCTAATGATTTGCTACTCCAAAGGAGAAACCAAGTCAGTGTGCTCCAGAAAGATAGACTCTGTCATTCTATCTTTCACTCTGCTAAGCCCAAAGATTACCTGTTGGCACTCAAGGTGTAGCAAAGATTGATGTATATTTATAAATCTATTTATACCACTATACCATGTGTATATATAATATATTTATAACCACTTAAATTGTGAGCCAAGCCATGTAAAAGAACCTACTTTTCCTAAGGGCAAAAAAAAAAAAAAAAAAACCTCTTTCTGAGACTTTGCTTAATACTTGAGGACCTCACTCACGATCACATCAGTGCTCAGGCACCCCCTTGCCTGTTATCAGAGACAAGAAACCTTGGTGCAGGGGTGAGGGCCACATAACCAGGGAGAAAGTGATACATCATTTTTGCTGTTAAGGATCATCTGGAACAGCTATGTTTTTGTTTTGCCACATCATGATTATGTGGTCACAGTAAAGTCACAGAAATTAAAAAAAAAAAAACAACTCAGTATTCCTTTACCACCAAACTTTCTTTTCCTTTCCCTCCTTCCTAAATACTGACACATCACTGTTCAGTTCTTTTATATATTCACCATTTTGTTCGCATCAACTAATGTCAACTTGCAGAGAGAATAACAGATTTCAAGCAATCCAGGGAAAACCAAGAGCCTTACTGATCTATTCCTAGACTAGCAAGACTGACAATTGTGGTTTGTTTTTTTTTATTTTTTTGTGTGTTTTGGCAGTGCTGGGATTGAAGCCAGGGCCTCCTACATGTTAGGCACTCTATACCCACTGAGCTACACCTCAGCTCAAAACTGACAATTTTTGATGTATCTGTGTTTGACATGGTCCTTGATTGTAGGTAAACCAAAGCGTCATTCTGATGTTGACACCAAATACGTTTTATTTCCAATGAACACATGGGTTTCCTTTCATGCTTTCTTGTATTTGAGAATCTTCCTAAGGACCACTTGCTTCTCTTGCCATCTGTCTTTTCCCTCTTAGGCCTCTTACATGTGAATGTTGAGCCCACAATCAACAGTGGTTTTTTTCCTCTACTCAAAGTTAAAACTGACCAAAGTTATTGGCTTTTTACTTTGCTAGAACAACAAAACTCTCTTATGTTTACGTACTGGTTTACATTATTTATGTGCAAATTGTCAAAATGTAAATTAAATATAAATGTTCATGCTTTACCGATGCTTGTCTAGTGTCTTGAGTGGAGGGCCAGTGAGCAACTTCTTACCCATACTCTAAGGGTGAGCCTGGACCACACTTTGAACATGATGCAATTTGCTTCTCCCTGTCCCCACCATGGTTCTGTTTCCAGTAGCCCCAGCCATGAGGCCCCCATCTTCCCCACCTACCTTGGGCATTGATCTGTTGTGTCCCTCATAACTCTCACCAGTGTGTGATTTTTTTAAAAAAATTATGAGCTATAAAGGTGTTCTCTAAGAAAGGCATTTCAATTATTCTCCAGTACGTGGGGCGGGGGAGATTTTGTTAGCTTTTGTTGGATTATTTTTGTTGTTGATTTTTATTTATTTTTTGCTGTAGTGGGGATTGAACTCAAGGCGTTGCTCCTGCAAAACAAGGGCTCTGACACTGAGCCACGTCCCCATGCCTTTTTGTTTTGAGAGAGGGTCTTACTGCATTGCCCAAGCTGGCCTTGAATTTGCAATCTTCTATCTTCAGACCCGGAGTAGTAGAGATTACTGACATGCCACCACACCCACCTTTGTTTTACTTTGTTGATGGACTTGGGGTGTGAGGAGGTAGAGAAGACTGGGGTCAATTCCAATGTGTGTGTGTGTGTGTGTGTGTACCCAGTCTGCTGGTGGATGAGGAGCCCAGGGAAGCTGGGTCTAGGCACTGCCCACTGGTGACATGCAGTGTTGCTTTAGTCACTAACAGAGCATGCAGTGCAGCATGCCTTACATCCTATTTATTTCCCCTTCACTTCTTAACCTGGGAAGCAGATTTGCTACTTGTGCACATGAAATAATTCCAGAAAGTTGATTTACCAGAATGTGGGCATTGTTAGTACAAAACTCAGGGACCATGGCAGCATTTCTTGGGGCCCCATGAGTCATGGTGGGAATGAGTCTACTTGCTTGTCCGTGGATGCTCCAGAAACCACCCTGTTTCCAGAGACATGATACAACTAAATTTGAATCCTATCTGGTAGATATGGATAGGAAATGCATTTGGGATAGTGTCCTCAGTGGTGGTGGTGGGGGCTGGGGAATCTAAAAGTCCTTTGCAAATGGTTTTCATTATATCCATTACCAAGTTCATGGTTCCATGCTAACTGCATGTTAAGAAAATAATGCTCCTTCTTACATTTGGATACTTAAAACTGCCTGATGTTTTATTTTGTTTTTAATATTTCTTCCTCAAATTCACTTAAACATCTGTGCCAAGAATTTGAAATGCTGCCAACATGTAACTGTGGAGTTAAGAAAACCAGAACCCTATTGTCATAAACGCGCCAAATGGTGCTGGTTATACTCCTAAATCCTACAGAACCATTGTGGTAATAATTTTTCAAAACGAAGCCAAATAAGATCCAGAGTGTAACAACTATTACCATAAATCACCATTCTTTACTTGGCAAATCACATCTCTTTTGCTTGGGAGTTACATATCTTGGGAACACTGGTGGATGGACTTGACTGTTTAATGAAACACTACATGGAAAGATAATGTTCTCTATGAGTCCAAGTCCACCTGCCAAAGTCCATACTGCTGGATTGAGGCTTTACACAGCTGTTTGTGGGGCAAAGCAAGATTGAAGAAGTCACCCTTCTCTGAAATTTTCCTTAACTAAACAAAAGCTCAATGAAGAAATGATGACTAGAGTTCCACACCATGAGACAATATAGAAAAATTATAAATACAGTATCATAGGCTTTATGAGCACCTTGATAGATATTTTTTCCTCTTGGGAGAAATGAGATCTACTTTAGGACCCCCAAGTTGGTATAGTGAAGAACTTATTCGTGTTTGAGTCTGTGTGTGTGTGTGTGCACTCACACACGCACGTGTGCATACACACCTGCACAGAGCCTTCTCTAAAAGATAATGAGGAAAGGCCAGAACAGGGGAATGAAAATATTGAGCGACACATGGTGTGGGGTTTTAATGTAAAACCAGACCTCCAGGATTATCTGGTCTAGGAAGGCAGGCTGCACCACACAGGGCGGCTGCAAGACTTGAAGGTGAGGAAGAAAGTTAGAAAGAATGTGCTCACTAAACCAGTCCAGAAGACACCTGTTTCCTTTGAGACACCATGCAGTCCTTCGGCCATAACATGTCCTTGTCATTATTAACTTCCAGCCAGAAGGGATCAGAGCAGTCTGGGCACTGCCTGCCTCTTTGGCGTTCACTGTCATTACATCCCTTTTCAAGCTTCAACACCTCAAAATCCCCAAGTCCAACTGCTCAAAGTGCTGCTGACAGCTGCTTCTTAAATAAGTTGAGAAGTGATTTTAATCTCAATACAGCCTTAATCATGTTCTTCAGGAAAAAACTGCAGCCAGATTCCAAAGAGTTATTTTAAACCAGATTTATGCAAATAATCTCTCTTCATCACAGAGTTTCACAGAATATTATAAATTAACAAACCCTCTCCTAGTTTGCTCTTCCAGGTTTGACAAATACTGAACCAGAGGTGGCCTTGTGCACTTTTCCTTCTCTCTGAATTTTAGAAGTTTTTAAGGCATGGTGGTACATGTCTGTAATCCCAGAGGCTAAGGCCAAGACAGGAGGATTGCAAGTTGGAGGCCAGCCTCAGCAATTTAGCAAGATGTAGCTCAGTGGTTGAGTGTTCCTGGGTTCAAGCCCCAGTACTGCCAAAAAAGTAGAGAAGGAGAAGAAGAGGAAGAACATAGGAGGTTTTATTCAGTCTAAAGGTAAATGTAGCCATCTTGTAGTTTTTTTCTACCTCCGTCAAGAAAGAGGAAGTGACAGAAAAGTATCAGTGGGTGATTTTGGTAAGAAACTCTCCAGCATGTTAACAAAAGGGGGTTGATCTCATGGAATTCTGGCAAAACTCCCCATCTTTAGGCATCTGAGGGATTCACCTGTGGATGACAACAACCAGCTGTTCTCCTTTGCTGATGAGGAGCAGAATGATGGAAATGGAATTCAATCGGAGCAAAAGGGACTAGAATTTAAATTGAGAAGACTCACCGCCTTTATGGTTTTAGCATACTAGGCTCCTTCCCAGAGGAGCAGAATCTCCTTGCTTGGTGTCAGCTTGTTTGAAAGCACAGAATGGACACGATAATGTGACAAATCCTTTTTGGGTATACATTCAAATATTTTCCATCAACCTTATCCATTATCATGTACCTGGGATGAGAAATACACAAGATTTTTGTGGAGGACTTCTTAATATTCCCTTTGATGTTTTTGTAGAGGTTTTTAAATGTTCCTGAGGCCCCATAGGAAATGCTTTGCATGTATCTAGAGAAACATGGAGAGCCTGCCTAATCCTAAGGAAGAATCCATGATACTGTGAAACAGACTCTGCTGTATATTTTGGCTGTGTTCTATTTTGTTTATGGTACTAAGGATTGCACCCAGGTCCTTGGACACTGAGCTACATCCTCAGCCTTTTTTCTTTTTCTTTTTAGACAGGGTCTCATTAAATGGTCCAGGCTGGCCTCAAACTTACCATTCCTCTATCCCAGCTTCCCAAATAGCAGTGTCCAGCCACTGTATATTTTGTTAAATATTTTGAATGGTATTCCACACTGGAGTTCCCAGGGTTTCTGAAAAAGGATGGAAAATGAGACATGTACCATCCTCTCCTAGCACTGCACCTGACACTGTGTAAAAGTGACTTGCAGGCCAGTGCTCTTTCATGGTGGTTATTTCTTGGGAAGAGAAGGGGCCCCTCTGCCTGTTCTCCTTCCAATCGGCATCCCTTGAATGCCAGTTCCCATCCACACAGCCAGAGGCAGTGAGACACATCACTGTGCCCTGACACACTACTGTTTCTTGCCTCCCTGGTTTTAATACTGATAACCTGGAGAGTGAGGTGCTGTGACACTAACCAACTGAGGATCAATAATGGGGTCACTTATTTCTTCTTCCAGGGCTCAGAGGGCCGGAGTGTAAAAATGCACCCAAGATGGCGCCTGAGATGATGAGCTCCTACTCATACAGAAAACACAGTGAACCAGGAGATTAGAAGCTCAGATCTAGTCCTGGCTCAACCTAGTCTCTTGTCAACTGCATGCTCTCAAGAAAGCCCTGGAAACTCCCTGGTCCTCCATTTCCTGATCCTTAAAATGAAGAACCATTGCTGGGTTGTCTTCCTGCTCTTTTGGAAGTATCACACTTGTAGTGAGTTGAAATTCCATTATTTTCTCTTATATTCATTTGGTTTGCTTTCCTTGGAACTCTGATCATTGCTATAGGCAGATATTTGCAATTTAGAGAGCAAATGTCAGAAAAGGGGGGGGGGATGAGGGGTGAGCTTGCATGGAAATGACTATTGTGGCTTCTTTTGGTGAAAGAGAGTGAGCTTATAAAAGTCCTGCTAATTTGTGAGAACCAGGCACTTTTCCCCAGGAACTCATCTGAAAGGAATCAAGATTCTTTTAATGGAAATAATGGGTTGTGCTTAAATCAAACCCCTGCTAGACTTAAGTACTATGAATGCTACGGTATTTAATTTAATGGGTTTTTGGTTTTTCTTCTTTGACTTTTTTTTTTTTAAAGCAAAGGCATACTTTCAAGACAAGTGAGAAAGATTTAAATTTCTTGTCCAAAAAAGACCAGGGGACAGAAATACCAGCAGCTTAAGGAAGAGAATGAAAACCCAAGAAAGAGACCCTAAGGAGACGTTGAAAGGAAACATTTCGGTTAGCAAAGCACTCAAGACCTTTATACCATTTTAACGGTTCAAGGTTTAAAAAAGGGAATAAAGAAAAATTAAGCTGAAGCGGGGAGGAGGGGCGAGGGAAAGGTGAAGCCGAGGCAGAAGCTGTGAGTAGAGAGATGTGAAAGGGGATGAAAATAAGTGAAAAGTGAAAAATTGCTTTATGAATAAACCGTTAAAAAATAGTGAGTGAAAAAGCAATTGTGCTTCCAGTTATTACTGAATCACAAGCGCGTGGAAGCCGAGGCTGACCCGAGCAGCGGGTCCGCGCTAAGCCACGTTGCAGCAGTTGGTTCGCAGCAG